ATGTAGCGACGGACACCGCTGCTCGTCTTTTAAACGGGTACCGCCCCGTGAGAACTACTCCCGGTGCGCGTAAATCCCACATGACTGAAAAGAAGCCGATGGTGGGGGGATCCCGCGAAGCCGGGATGTCGAAGAGGCAAGACCGAAGTTTAGTTTTGCTTAAGACAACCTTAAGTTGCATCGGTCCTCTTGCATACCCCGACGATCTCCTCGCGACGATCAGGCATGATACGGACCGGGTCGGCTACGGAAAAGGGTTCGCGCCCATGGGTGACCATGCATTGCGCCGTGGGTGACCAACGTTCTGGATCTAAATAAAACGTTCAGCGCAATCATCAGCGTCATGAAACGTGAGTTTTGTTTCCATCTTTTTGTACCATGCAAATTTCACGCTTGCGTGACATGTGGAGACGTTCGCGAGACATTTCGTTCCTATTAAAAATTGATTATAGATAATGGGGACAAATTCATCTCTGAAGAATGGATTGATTCTAAACAGAGATACCTGAGATTACGATAATAAATCCTCGACTGCAGCAAGGTTTATTTGAACTTGAGGTGAAAATTTGTTGACAATTGTACGATTGGTAAAGTTTTGAATTGTAGATAAAAAACTTTTAACCTTCCTTTATATCATTCACCGTAAGGCAAAGATACACTTGCATTCTGTATTTCAAACGGTACTTACTCTCTAAATTTCTTGAAGTAAAACCTCACTTCGAAAGAGCGAAAAATCTGCCACTCTTATTCAAGAGTGCAAATTTTTCATTCTTTTAACAACGGCAGTATTTTACACTCTTTTCGAGTGAGACTTCATCCAAGAAATTTTCAAGATCAAACACCCTTCTTCTTTATATTTTTTAATAATCTAAAACTAAAGTAATTCAAACATTCTTTTTTTAATATTTAAAAGAAAGTATGACAAAATACAAATTGAAGTATGATGGCATTGCTGGAAGTGTTAATAGTCGTAACTATCGCGTCGCTTATCGGCGATTCTTGCGTTACTCTTCCTGGGACGATCGACGACTTCCAATAATCCCGTCAAATTGGCAGAGCGGTCGGGTCCAAGTTCGACCCGTGTGTCGGTGGGTCGGTTCAGCGAAATGAGAGAGAAATCGCGAAATAAAAGAACCCACTGGCGGCCGAGGGAGCTCTTTCGGCGGAATAATAAAAAGAGTACCGTGGGTCGCCACGGTAGTCAACCCCCGAGCCGGTGCTTATGGCACTTTGCCACGTGAGGCTTGCAAATTCCGTCAGGTCGTTTCTCGCGTGCTTTCGTCATCGTTCAGTTTCGCGAAAGAAAAAATTATCCCGGGGCTGTCATGACCGTGACGTCTCGTCGAAATTTAATGTTAAGATCACGTTTATGTGTAAAGTTATGAAATCTAGTCAAAAAATATTAACGTAAGATAATTTTTGCCCGGCAAATAATTAGACAAATTGACAGTAGGATATAGGAGAAATAATAACTTTAGATATTATGGATGCACTATCGTCAGAAAGTTAAGATCAAAGATTTATATATATACTATTTTTTAGTAAATAGATAATTATTATTTAAAACGATCAGATTTTGCTTATCAGATTTTTAATAAGCCTATTATCAAGAGATACATTATTGTTAAGAAAAAAATTATGCGGAATTTATCTTCCATCTATTATAGAAAATTGTTTTGATCTTGTTATTGTAATAATAAATTGGCCTTAAATTTTTTGACGATAGTGAAATTTAAAAATAAAACAGTCCCCCTTTCTGGTCAAACTTGTTTCGCCTCCAAAATTTAATTCTTCGATCGTTCTCGATTAGAAGCTCCTTTCTTAAAATTTTGTTTTGAAAATAAGATCTTCCTCTTATCCGGGATATATTATATATTGTACATATACATATAGAGCTGTCCATGGTAATGTCATGCGAAAATAATCATGCACGTGCTCGAAGTGTGATAAACACGAGCAACGCCATCATTTCCCGAAATACAATCGCGCGCACGAGTTCGCACGCCACGGTACTTTAATTTCGCGACTCGCCGATACCTCAGTTCCACAAGTTTGATTACGGTAGAGGATGCACCGTCAGCATAACAGACATCCTTGTTATCGTACAGACATCCAAGGCTGCGCCTTTACGCCCACCTTAAGACTTCCCTCGTATAAAACCTGCGGCACATTTTTCACCTGCGATGCATATTTTTCTACTGGATTGCTTGAGTTTTAATATATTACTAGAAATTCTACAGTTTGTATGGTGCAATTCTAGTAATTTACTGAACGCGAACAATGCGGTAGAAAGAAAGTAGGCATCATGTGCCGTTGGTTCCAAACACGAGTCGATCTTGCGTCATTGCTTACGAAAGTTTTTCCGGCAACGATTGCTTGAATGTGCGTGTTGATTAATTAACAAATTGTAACATCTCGCTTATTTGTACAAAACTCGACATGTCGAGTTAGCTTTTCTGAATTTAAAAACAGGATAACTGATTTCTCTTCCTAATCATTCATGTATCATCCAATTCCCACAACGTACAACTTTAAAGCGATTTCCACGTCCCATAGCGGCCCATAAGCTTTACAGCTGGTTCATGGCGAAACGATTCTGTTGGTGAACGCACACGTACATACATGTATAAAAGCAAGAGAAAGGACGTTTCACTATCTATGGGACACACAGGCAGGGCGGCATTACATATCGCCCGATAGTTATCCATAGTATTTATTATATGTAAATTAATACTTTATACAACATTGCATTTATAATGTAAAAAATAAACGTCCATAAATTAGAAATTATATATATTATATAATATATTATAATCGTTATTATTGTATTGAAAATATATTATTAAC